ATTATTATATTATCTATTAATTAAATAAATATAAATATAAAAAATTTTTAAAAAATGAAAAAAAAAGTGAAAATGTAAAAAAAAAAAAGAAGTTTTGACTAAGTTGACTGGGTCAAATTTTGACTGAGTTTGACCTTCAATGGGTAAATACCATCACTCGGCTCGTTTTTAGAATCAAGCCAGACTCAATTGATTGAATTGACCAAGCTAAACCGGGTTTCAAAACAGTGGTTTAATATAAGGTTTGTCTTTTTTGGGATAGGTAAAGTGTTTATGTTTAGGAGTTTAATATAAGATTTGTCTTTTTTTGGGATAGGCAAAGTGTTTTTGTAATGGTTTGTGTGTAATTTTTATGCTAATCTCTCTTCAATTAATTTCAGAGGTGCAATATTACATTGGTTTAATACATTTAATGATTAATTTCTTTGAATATTGATTTAAAAATTTTAATTTTAAACATGTTTTACAAGACAATACCTATTTGGTAGTGACTCGGAGAGTTTTGAGTTAGATCTACCAAAAGCATGATCTAATGCATTGGTGGACCAAACAGGCAGGAACTTTTGCCATGTCTAGAGTGGTACCAAAAAGTTGACCTAGTGCATTAGTGGACCAAAATGGAATATACTAATGTTCAGGCTGGGTCACTCTTTAATTGTTTTTAGTAGCAGTTTGTTTCTAAGTTTCACTGGCAAATTTGTTAGGCCAAAAGGAGAGCCCAACAACTAAATTGGTGGATAAGATTAGAATGCCAATTCGTTACTCTCAAATCTCAATCCCGAAGTAAATAATATTAAAATTAGAAAATAAATTTTTGAATTACAGATGCAATTTGAATTACATTGAATTAATTTATATTAAACTAGAAAAATTAGTGTATCAAACCAGCTGCATGGTACCTTTTTTTTTAAAAATAGAGCCGACTTATCGCATACTGCAGCTGCCATTCAATACAAATATTGTCACAACTCTTAATTACTTAACAAAAAAGCAGGACGAACCCCCCAAACTTGCAGTCAGAATATAACACACGGTGGGAGACAAACGCAAGGGAACTGCCACAAAATTTGAAAAATCAAATACCATAACACTGTAGATTATCTCATCTTCAAATAGGTCTTCACATTGCATCTGTCACCTACCAACCCCATCTCGTTCTTTCCCAAACATGGCATTTCTTTTTTGGATCCCCACAACCTTCCCCTAATCGCCCTCTATCTCGATCCTTTGTCATTCATTGAACAAGACCCCATATAGAATGGCGGTCCAAATGAACATTTACTTTGCTTCGTGCCAACTCAAGTTGCCGAGTCCCTTCATAGCGGTATACTTTTGACATTACATATTCCCTCAAACAAAGACCAAGAAAAGAAGCTTCTGCTCACATCAATATGTTCTTCTAAATATAAGTATCATCAATCCTCTTCAATCTCCTTACCATCTATACTATCTACGAAATTATCCTCTTTTTTTTTTTTTTTTTTAGTTTATATTATATCTCAAAGGGATAGAACAGGGTAGATGAAGGGGAAGAGGAAAGGGGAGATGGATGACGCCGCGCAAGGTGGGAAAGCTGAAGGGGTATCCAAAAGGAAGAGCAAGAAGGCGGTGGAGAGCAAGGAGGAGGATGGGAAGGAAGAGGCGGCGTCCATGACGATGGAGAATGTGGTTGGGTGGGAGGAGTGGTGGCCGTGGTTGAGTGGCGTGGCGGATGAGCAAATGTCATGGGGGTGCGTGTGGTCGCCGTTATGGGATATGGATTTTGTGGACACGGCGTATGATGATCTATTTAGTGATGTTGTGTGGGATGATGATATCTGGAACTTGAGGAGCATCAATGAGGTTCCCAAGCCTTGAGAAAAATGTTAAAAAGAAAGAGTTCAATGAAAACTGAAAAAATTCACTTTCTGTTTTTTAAGTCTTTTGTGTTTTTTGTTATAAATCTTTCTGATTTGGGTTGCATGTTCAATTCCAGCAGAGAATGATGGAGGAATAAAATAAAACTACAAATTATGCTTCAGTTAATACAGAATTCATTCACAATGAAAACACAAATTTTATTTCAATCCAGAACAATGTCCATACTTGATTAGCATCAAACAGGAAGAACAAAAATTCTGAAATGGAAGATGAACCCAACAACAAACAAAAGCATGGAATTTAGAAGCCCTTGGGCTTGGAGGCAATGAAACTGATGCACTGGACTTGACGAACGTTGTCGAATCCGATGATACGGACGAATGCTTGTGGGTATGCCTTCTTGCATTCCTCCACCTCCTTCAACACCTGGGATGAATCAGTGCACCCAAACATGGGGAGCTTCCACATGGTCCAGTAGCGGCCATCGTAGTATCCTGGGGTCCTGCTGTTCTCACGATAAACCCATCCCTTCTGTTTCAAGAAAGCATTAAAAATGTAAATAATGTATCCTTTTGATGCTAAATTGACTATATAATGTTACTTCTGCTAGAAAGATTTATGCCTCGATTAAAAGCCTGTTTGGTCTAACTGTAACTTGTCACTGGAACTAAAATTAGACACTAACAACATCATGGTAAGTTAAAGCTATTAGTAGGAGAAAGAAGAGATGAAGCATGTAACCTCCAACTCAAATTCCAAGCAAGGAACCCATTTCGAGCGGAGAAGGTAGTCGACTTCCCTAGCCAATTGTTCTGGGGAGAGATCCGGAAGGTATGAGAGAGTTTCGAACTTCTTCTTTCCAAGTGGAGGCCACACCTACCCTCAAAACCCAGATTTTATGAGAAGCCGCAGCTTTCTTAGCCCAGCGATGCATCTAATAATAAATACTACCAAGAGAAACAACAAGAATTAAGGTCTTTTTGGTTACCTGCATGCACTGAGCTCTGTAACCATTGTTGGCCAACGAGGTAATGTCATTGCTGAGCCGGCGGGTCCCTGGAAAGGAAGCGGTGGACTTGAGGCCAACATATGGGGCGACCACGGTGGCCTGAGCCGGTGAGGCTCTGTTGACGGAGGTCACTGCGGCTGATGAGACTATGGATGCCATGACTCTTCTTCCCTTAGCTACAAACGGAGTCTTTGTGTGGTAATGATCAGTTTAAGAGGCCATAGCACTGCAACTTTATCCTGTACTTATAGGCAAACCGCACAAGTCTGTCATGTTTTTGAGTGAGATTTTACCCATTTTGCATCAAGTGGTCTCAAATTGAAGTGGGAAATCTTAGATATTTTCTAGCCCCCTGATTCTGGTGGACGGACATTAGACCCTGATGGCCACATAATGAGTGGATGTTGGTTTCCAAGCCTTATCGTTAAATGCTCCACTTGTTGTGCCACGTGGCAAAAGCCCATTATCTTATCTCATCCGAGGAATGAGGACTAGAATTTGCGATGGTTCTTTGCCCCGTGTCATTTCCTGGCCTTTCATTTCTTAGTCTTTGGGTATTGTGAAGGTTAGAAGCCATCGTTGCTGTAATGATGGAGTTGAAACTTTTATTTCAGTATCAGATTGTGGCAGTGAGCTTGAATTTAGGTCAGAATTTGAAATTTCTTTCTTCACATTTTCTTCTCATGTAATCTCAACTTAAAATCCTTCACCCCATCATGACTTTGGCTTCAGGGACATCATTTTTTTTTGAATGAATCCAAGTCTTGACCATTCAAATATAAGTTTTAAAGAATCTTGAACCAGTGAATTAAGGGACTGTAATCTTAATTGTCCAACTTCAAGGGTAACACTGAAGGCTTTATGAATACTTTGCTTTTGTTATGTCATGTAATCTGAGATTCTGACTGAAGTTTGCCGTCTTACTTTTGTTTTTTTTTTGTTACTGTTATAAAGATAGACAATTAAGGGCTGAAATTCTTCCTGTCCCTTGCAAAAGAGTTTACTGATGGATGAGTGTCACAATTCAAAACAATGTCCCACTTAGAGTTAAGAATGACTAGTACATGAAGGTGATTTCTGGTTTTCTTCCCTTATCTTCTAATTTTTAATTTTAAGTTGCTAATTTAATGAAAATGTCCTTACATTTTTATCATTATCTTAGGATGTTGAGTTCATTAGATAGAGGGACAGAAAGAGAAACTAAGTTGATAAACCTATTGATGATAAAAGGACATAATCTGATATACTTTGCTCTTTTATGTGCATTTGGTCCTTCTATCATACAAAAACTCAATAACAAGATCAGAAAATTGGGTCACAGATAATTTGCTTGGAAACATCAATGTGAGTACTAAATTCAGTAGCCTGGAGGCTTGTAAGCAATGAAGCTGATGCATTGGACTTTTCGCTTGTTGTCAAATCCAATGATCATGATGAATGCACTAGGGTATGCCCTTCTTGGCTTCCTCCAGCTCCTTAAAACACCTGTGATGAATCAGTGGCTGAAAATTCTGAGACCCCTCAACCATCCTTTAGTAAATTAATCTGGCATTTATTAGAGCAGCTTTATTGTTGTTGTGACTTTGGCACCATATAGAGTTCTTGTTTGGAATTGCACACCATTGTATTGTTGGTTCTTCTTCACAAATTTGCTGGTTGGGGTCCATTTTAGTTCGAGAGGACTAGAAAAAAGTCGATAAATTTCAGCAGAATTTTGTGGCTGCAGGAGGCAGCAAAAGCAATGGTGGTAGGCTTGTAGCTAAGGCAAAACTTTTTTTGTGATTGAAAATGTTTATCCCTTTATTAATACTTTTCGGTCTTGGCACTTGGGTATTCACATCGTTTTCCTATTTCGACTTTGTTACACAACAGTTTGAAAAGTACGATTCACCGTGATTTCAATGCAAAATGCATTTTTAATCCAGCCACAAACTCTAGGGCTAGCATTGTTGATAAAACTTCTCACCCCATGTCATCAAAGATAAGATCACAGCTAAGTCAATAGAATTTGGTTTTATATATATATATATATATATATATATATATATATATATATATTTGAATGATTTATAATTTAAGATAAAAAATTCAAATCTCAACTTTAAAATTGAGAGATACACTTTATAACTGAATATAAAGTTATTAGATCACAAAATTCAAGTGCGAATTTAGTTTAACATTTTAAAGTTATTTCATTCAAAAAATTGTATTAAATCACCAACAAAAACTCAATCAAATTAATTTTATTACCTTCAAAACATTGTTTTTAAAATTGAGATTAAGGGTTTTAAAATGCATATATGAAGTACAGAAAAATAAAATAGCGTCCAAGTATTGGACTGATTAGTCACTTCATTCTCCGGGCATATACAAGAAGTTCGAGAAATTTCCACGTTAGCACCACGTCGTCGCTGACTGGGTGCCACGTCCTTGCATCCTGTTGAACAGGGAACCAACCACCTCAGATAATTCAATGCGGGCTCTGACTTTCGTCTCAAGAAAGTGGGCCGGTGCCTGCTCAATGGGCTAACAACGCAACTAGTGCAAAACATAGCTCAATAGGCCGCCTTGGCCCCTCCTGTATAACCCATTGGGTCCAAACCTATTAAGCTCCACTCATCTCACCCCACCCCCTTTTTGCTAGCCCGTGGAACTGTATAAGATTGGGTATCTGTAAAAAGCTGGCCCAGATTTTTACTTTCAATCTATGTTTTTTTTTTCAAAAAAGACAAAAGAAAAAGGCGATTATTTTTTTACCATCGCGTGGTTTAAACGCAGATGCCATACGCGTGGGTCTAAAGTTCTTTACTTTCCCAAAATTAGCTTTGTTGCTTTCCACCCCGCTGCGAACAAAGCTGGTTCTCACTGGCAAGTGGCTCACACTTTTTTTCCACTTCCAATTCAAGAAGCTCACATTCTCTATAGTTCTGAACTCAAAGAAGAGATGGGTGAGGGAAAAGGCTCGACCTTGGTGCACCTTCTAGCGGTGGCCCTCTGCCTGGTGGCCTTTGGGTTCGCCATTGCTGCCGAGAGAAGAAGAAGCATTGTAAGCCTTCATTTTTCTGTTCTTTCTGCCCTGTTTCAAGATACTTACTTCACAATTATAACTATAACTGAGAGCACTTCTATTTTTCCTGTTATTCATCTTCGTTGCTTTAATAACAGTGTTCTAATATCTATCTTGGAATGTTAGTCTGTTTAACTATATAATATTTGAGTGTATGGAAAATTGTGGCTCTGCAGCAGGTAATGTGTAGAGATCTGAGTTTAAAGGATGAATTGGGTTTTGAAGATTAGATGATTTGGTTTTAGTTAAGTGCTTTGTGTAATGGGATGTTATAAGCTAGATTAACATTGGCTCTATAAACATTGTTCCTTTAATCAAAGGAAAAGTTGTGTAGCTAACTCCAATTATGTTCATTATTTAAGGTAATTGGTTCATTTATATCTTAGGGGCAGCTCTAATCTTTAGATAGGTTCTGTGTTCTCTAGCTGATCACAATATTCTTCATTTCTTGTTCACCCTTGTCGCACTCATATCATTATATCAACTCATTGATCTAAACAGACTAGACTGCTATTGGTTGAGTTTACTTTTGGTTTCTTTTCTCTGCCAGCTTGGATTTATTATTTTACTGTACAATTGTGAAGGTGATATTTAATTTGAGAGAATCCTTAGAGAATTACTCATCAAATGTAAACATTTTTTTCCCCATAAGATTAGAACTACCTTATCTTTTTCAAATTTACCTCGCAAATTCTTGTTATCAAACTATCTTTGTTGTTCAAGATCATAGATCACCTTGTATTATTCGATGTTGGTGTTAAAAACTAAGCGTGCCTAGTGTATTGCTAGTCCTCTGTAATTGAGTTAACATTAGTGAATTATAAGGCCACAAGTTACCCCTCAAACTTTAAGGTCAATCTCATTTACCCTCTTCCCTGATGATTTTGCATGTCAGTTATCTGCTAGACTAGTTGATTACAGCTATAGTCTTTTCTTCTTTAAAAAAAAAAAAGGAAAAAAATTTTTTAAGTAGAAAAAAAAAAGAAAAAGAATTACAGAAGAGGGGTTGGTGCAGTGCTTTGCAGGTCTAGCCTGCTTTTTATTTTCCCTCTTTCTTACTCTCTCATCTTAGCTGTGACGTTGCCCCATACCACAACTGACTTTTCTCTCTCAATATTTTCTTTTTCATTTTCTCTGATTCTCTTGTCTCCTCCTTCTGTCTTCTGCCCTCTGTCCCTCTCTCTCCTATAAATCACAGGGGACCGCCCTTTTACTGTCGTTTGTTCTCTCGGCTAATTTCTCCATTCAATTCTTTTTTTTTTTCCCTTCAATTTTTTCTGGTGTTTCTTGGTTTATATATTTACTTTCTAAGTTGAGGAGTTCTCTCTCGTTCGAATCCTAGAGCTGTACAGTTGAAGCTAAGGTACGACGGTTGCTCTCTATCTCTCTGTTCTTTTTTTGGAGCCCGAAGTTCGCTGACTTTTCCTCCCGGGGGAGATCTGGAGCTTTAATTTTATCAAAAGCTTGTGGAATTTTTTTTGAATTTTTTTTAAACAGTTTTTTCGCAGATTGATTCTGCTAGCGGATTTATGTTCTTTGATTTGTTTTCTAGGGGCAGAATTTCTCCACTTTTACTGGCTTTTTTTACGAGTTTGATTTGCTTCTTCTATCGGTTATTAAGAGCTCAGTTGTTGAAATTGCTTGTAAGCTATGCAGATCTGAGATGAAATGGAATGATTCCGGTTAATTTTTCTGGTGAAAATTGCAATTAGATCTATAGAGACGGCTCCTTTTCCTTTCGTAGACGTTGTAAAACAGATTGAAAAAAAAAAAAAAACCCTAATTTCTCGTAAGAAACTCAAGAGCCGTTTTTAGATTATGCAGCGATTTTTCCACCTCCTTGCTCAAGGCGGCGGCGGAAATTTCCGAAAGGCGGTTTTCCTTTTTTTGTTTTTTTGTTTGTTTGTGTTGACTAACCTAGGGTAATCTGTCAGCCGCCCTATGCGTTTATGCAATAGCAGATCTGTTATTAAATACAACTCTAAAATTTTTCTTTTCACTTCTTTTATTTCAGGGAAATTAATTGTTTAATAAAGAAAAATTAGAGACGGAAAACATGAATCACTGTGCAATTCAACAGAAGGTGAGCGCAGCACGCGAAGACAAATGGAGCTCCGTTTCTGTTTCGGATCTGAGAGAAACCGTCATCTGCCCCAAACCACGTCGTTTGGGTGTTCTAAACGCAGCCATCAACGACCACCCTCATCCTGTCAGGTCTCTCAGATGGCAACTCAGGTAAATTCGTGGCTCTGTGTCCTTTATAATATAGAATTGATGTTTTAAGGAGTTTCAGTTTGTTAACTTTGCTATTTCTTTTCTAAAATTTCAGCCATCAAGCAGAGATGTGTGATTCGAAAGCAGGGAGTGATCTTTTGGATATCATCCTCACAAAGGTACGGTTATTTTTATGCCCCTTATTCTCCTCCTTTTAACTTGAAAATAGTTTGTGTTGATGCTTTCAGTTAACTGTTTTTTTTTTTTTGGCCAACGAGGAAAACTATGTGTGTGCCAAGAATATTTTCTTTCCCAAAAAAGCTATTCAAGTTAATTGATTTCATATGGTTTCATGAGTGAATTCTGTCTGTGTCTGCAAGATTGATTTATGTATAGATTTTAAATTTTTGGTTGAACTTTTGCAGGGTGGTCATGGATCTTATGGTGCGGAACAATCTTGCACACATGTAGCCTCGTCGCCCCCTTTTTTATGTGGGTCGCCGCCGAGCAGAGTAGCTAACCCGTTAACACAGGATGCTCGATTTGGGGATGATAAAATTCCCCCTTTGTCACAGCTGTCACCAATTCCGCCTCCTGTTGGTATATTATCATCTCCTTCCCCGTCTGCAAGGAAAGGAGGTTGCCATCGGGCAAATTTTGGTAACAAACCAGCAGTGAGAATCGAGGGGTTCGATTGCCTGGACAGGGATCGTCGAAATTGCAGCATCCCTGCCCTGGCTTAGAACTCAATTCAATCCACAGAAGAGTACATACATTTAGAAGAGCTGAGGGAAAAAAAAGACTGTAAACCAGGACGAAGGTTTGATATCATGAGAAGAATTTTGAAGTTCTTAGAGAGGCAAAAAAGGGATCCTTTGTTTAATGTGAATATGTTTCCAAGGGTTCTTTGTACGTAGTTATGTTGTCTTGTAAGTAAATGAAGAGTTGTTTCAGGAAAATAAAGAGAGAAAGGTCCTTAGCCCTAAAGATTGAAATGATACAAGAGCATGACTTGTGTAACTGTGTCAAGAGATAACTCTCTGGTCAGTCTCTTGTATTGTATTGTAAGTACGGTCTGAGTGAGGAGCAGTTTTTCTTTCTGTATCCTTTGGGTCTTCGAAGTTGCAGTTTCAGTTAGAAAACTAATGTAGAGAAATGTGTACAAAGTCAAGTTGGTATTTCAATCAATCTTTATACATCTGCACATTCGGCTTTTCTTCTAGGATGCTTGCACTGATTTGAACCATATAAAGCTAAGCAACATGAGCTATGATGCATTGATGTTTGCTTATGAAGCACGCCACTACTGGGGGCGTGGAATTCTGCTTGGAAATGCTGCTGCTCTTTTTCGTTTATGGCAGTATTCTCCTAAATGGGCATCAGTTTTGTGCCCGGGAATAAAGATGAAGGAATTTGAGGTTCTTTATGGCATGGGAGAAGTCAAAGTTTTGAGTGAATGATCCCTAATCATGGAATTCTCTAAACCCCTTTTCAGGATATACTGCAGCTACAGCCGCATGATCTGCAAGCTCCTTTTGGCTCCTTTATACCGCCTTGGAGTATTCATTTTGCGTGCTATGGCTCTTTCTTTCCCCGCGCCTCCCGCTCCTTCAATCCTGACGCCTATGCCCTAGCCGCCTAGCGCAACCACTTGTTTATCAGCATGCATTCTCTGAAATTGATTTTATGCTCTTAAGCGTGCGAGCTTCAACTCCATTTACTACTTCTTCCGTCCTATTACTTTGCTATGCTTTTGTTTTCAACCAATTTCAATTGCTTTTTACATACTATCAAAAGCATTACTTAAAAATGCCTGTAAAGGCCTTTTTTTTTTTTTTTTTTGGATGAAATGTAATTTTCATTTATCTAATAAAACTCAAAGTATGGAATTAGCATCCAGATTAACTACTACAAGAAGTAAAACTCTAAGTTATCCAACTATCCAAAAGAAAAACTCTATTTCAGGCCGTAGGATCAATCAGGTGGACTAGGTCTTTATGAAACAGAAAAGATATAACTTTGGTAGGGAAAAGGAAAGTGAAAAAAAGTGTGGGATGAAGTCCCTAAGGAAAAAAAAAGTTAAAGTGTGACAGGTAAAATATAATGAGTATTTTTTTATGGCATTTTTCTAATTTAAATGTTGAAGGAGCCAAACTTAAGTGGGTAAACTTTAGGTAGCGAAGCAGGTCGAGGAGCTCTATAATAAAGGGGTTGAATTGATTCCAGTTACAGTTTAGGCCAGGGGTAGCTTTTAGTCTTGAAGATGAGCTTGAATTTTTTGGTCAACCATTCAAGTGTTATAATCAAATGAAGCTGGTTTGATACTTGATGGCCTAAATGGTTCACTATCCAAACTTAAGGTTTAACGTCCAAATTGAATTTGAAGTAACTACTGAATTCATTTCAGCAAGAAGCAGTCTCAACTCTCAAATATGTTAATTAAATTGCATCATTGAATCACAGACGTGAATTGGAAGTTAGATTAACGGTTGGGAAAACAAGAGCGGTTTTGAACGTGAAGATTCAGTTTCGGTTTGACGCAAACTAGAAACTGCCCCAGGCAGACCAAATTCATCCCAATACCAAATTTAGGTGAAGAATTAATGAAGAACCCTAGCTACTGGTATAATTTTTTTGATAGTCACCCTAGCTACTTAATTCATTATTTTCCTCACAATCAAATTGAGTAGGTGGTGGAGGTGTACTTATCTAAAATGGCAATCCTCTGTTACACAGCTATAGACAGATGTAAACATCAAAAAATAAAGCTATAAACAGATGTATCAAAAGGTTTTTTTTTTTTGGGCAAACCCCTATGGCTAAGCCCTCGGATTTACTTTAGATTCTCGATTAAGTTTTTAAATTTTTATTGAAGCAAATGATTTTTTAAACTTGACAATTTGAGCAATTTAATCATTTTCCTTACTATAGAGTTAACTCCCATTTATGCCTTGTCTGTGTAGACAAAGTTAATAATCACCACATAAATGACATGTTAATATTTTGTCTACGCAAATGAGGTATAAACGAACATTAAGTTTACAATAAAAAAAAAAGAAGAAGGTTAAATTGCTCAAATTACTAAGTTCAAAAACTTATTTACTTCGATAATAGTTTAAGGGTTTAATAAAAAATTTGGAGTATGTTTGGGAGTTTAATGCAATGTTTTAAAGTCCAACCCGGTGATTGACCCATTTTGGTCATCAGGTCTGGTTCAATTGGTTGAACCAATTTGATCGACTGGGTTAA